AAATAATCAGGCCCCATCTTATCTTAATGACCTTGTAGTACCATATCACCCTATTAGAGCACTTCGCTCTCGCTCTGCAGGCCTACTTGTTGTTCCTAGAGTATTTAAAAGTAGAATGGGAGGCAGAGCCTTCAGTTTTCAGGCCCCTCTTCTGTGGAACCAGCTTCCAGTTTGGATTCAGGAGACAGACACTATCTCTACTTTTCAAGATTAGGCTTAAACTTTCCTTTTTGCTAAAGCATATAGTTAGGGCTGGACCAGGTGACCCTGAATCCTCCCTTAGTTATGCTGCAATAGACGTAGGCTGCCGGGGGATTCCCATGATGCATTGAGTTTTTCCTTTCCAGTCACCTTTCTCACTCAGTATGTATTAACAGACCTCTCTGCATTGAATCATATCTGTTATTAACCTCTGTCTCTCTTCCACAGCATGTCTTTATCCTGTCTTCCTTCTCTCACCCCAACCGGATCGCAGCAGATGGCCCCGCCCCTCCCTGAGCCTGGTTCTGCCGGAGGTTTCTTCCTGTTAAAAGGGAGTTTTTCCTTCCCACTGTTGCCAAAGTGCTTGCTCATAGGGGGTCATATGATTGTTGGGTTTTTCTCTGTATCTATGAAGCGCCTTGAGGCGACTTATGTTGTGATTTGGCGCTATATAAATAAAATTGAATTGAATTGAATTGAATGTAAAAATGTAGTTTGTTATTGTTTTGGTTTAAGTGCTAAAATTGTTTTATGAGTGTATGTTTATGTGAGTGCAGACTTGTATATAGTTAAACATGTATGGATCATATAATGTCAAATTCTGAATATGGACTTGTAAGTAATAAAAGTTGAAATATGGGGGTAGGAACAGGAAAAGTGTAGACTTCATCCTACTCTGAGCATACTCATTCTGTAGACATAGATATATACATGAAACATCTATCTATCTATCTATCTATCTATCTATCTATCTATCTATCTATCTATCTATCTATCTATCTATCTATCTATCTGTGAAGGTGTTCTCTTGCATTGCCGTGCAGGGCAAAAGCTCATAAATTCAAACGTTAGAATGAAGAAGCATCTATGTATGAAATGAAAAGCTTCTGTTTACCATGTCAGCACAAAGACACACAAACACACTCAGAAATATGAAGCAGAGTATTTGCTGTTTGACAGAACAGTGCATTTTTCTTGGAGCAAACCCAGTTCACCCTAAAGTATTTGGACAAAAATGTTCATTCACTCGGCCAGTTGAACAAGGAACGAGGGTGGTGCTGTCACTGTAAACAAGCACATGCTCTTGACTGACCCATCTGATTAGATAAGGGTCTTAAAAAAAGAGGGGCGTATTAATCTTGCAGCGGGTGCGCATTCTGTTTTTCATCTACATGTGTTTAGACAGGTGTTGGCCATCAAGCTTTCTGGCCAAAGGACTAACCCCGTGACTGTGTTACGTTCACTTCCTCGCTTCACACAATGCGTTTGTTATTCGGAGGATGTCCAGTAACAACAAAGCGTACATCTGTATTTATTTGTGGGAGTGTTGGTGCTTCATTGTAGAGATCGAGAACCAAAGTAAATAAGTAAATATTTATAATGAATAGTGCAAAAATTACACTCGAACCCCAAGCAAATAAATACTCTCATAAATCAATGAGAGTTTTAGCCTAAAGAGAGAGCGAGAGATCAAGAACACAGACTAAAGAAATAGACAAATTAGACTTTCTGTCCTTAAATGACCCCAATCCAGTATGAAAATCAAGACATTTACTAAAATTATGTATACTGTCACGTCAGGGCCTCAGAGATCAAAACAGACTAAAGAGGGGGATTTAAAACAAAGTTTGTTACTTTTATACCCAAAGGAGGCAATTAACTGACAGAAGTGCCCCTTAAGGAATTTCTGAGTTCTGTTTATCTTTTCAGAAACATCTTGAAATTGAAATGTTTAATTAGCTTCTGTCAGCTTTGATGTCTGAAGCCCATCGGTGCCTTGGAAAGTATTCAGCCCAAGTGAAAAAAAAAGTCCCATAGAAACGTATTAGGATTTATCTTCTGCTGCTATGTTGTCTACAAGCCGGTGGCTCTGGATTGTCCTTGAAGGCAGATCTTTAATCTTCGTTTCCCTTCCGTGACTCAGATTCAGTCACGCTGCTTGGAAAATATTACACAAGTTATTATTTTATAACTCTAACCGACTGAAGCTGTGTGCGCTCCTCACAGTGCATGTGCTATTTTGAGGTACTCACTTGATTTAATGTCACAGTAATTTGACATTTTAAGTCGAGCTGTGGAGACTGCTAACCGCTTTTGGTGACTTTATTATCAAGTTACAGCAAAACTAATGAGTTCCAGCTTTAAACCACAGGATTGCATTTCCATGTAATTATTCACTTCCGAGCCAGCTTCATTACACAGCTGCCTTGAAAGTAAACAAAAACAATCTGCTATATTTATTTATTTATTCCTAAAATTTACAAGCAAGTTCATACAGTACAAAATCAGCTGAATGGAATTTCAGTGTATTTTATTTGAAATTACAACGTGATTATATTTACCTACCAGTACGTGCAGATAGTACCCTACAATAAGTAACAAGTCAAGTTTTTACACAACACAAAGAAATTATTATATTATCGGCCAATTTCAGCAGCTTCTAAGTACAGAGTAAGCAAAAAAGAACAAATAAACATAGAATATCCATCACGCACATCAATATAAGGAAGATTAACAACTATTTTAATAAATAACGATGTAAAAAGGTAAGTCACTCAATAATATGGCTCCACAGCGTACTTATAATGTAGGATGGGGAAATATTGCCTGTTTTCTGCAAAATTAGTTATGCAACACTTAAAATGACTGTATATTTTAAGTATTTCTTTGGTGACAATTTGCAGGTCACCTAAATAATGTAAATACAGTTAAACTGTTATTGGTACTTTATTAAACCACTGTATGTTATGTGCTTGTATCCAAGGACAGCAGCTCTTTGTTATTTCTAATTCATTTTCTAACTGGCACAATAAACATCTGTAGTTTATGGGTGAACCAAAGATTTGCTCATATTTTTTCAGAAACCAAAGTACAGAATAAAAAGAAAAAATAGTTTTAACAAAGATTTTTCTTAAATGTCCCCAGAAGTACCCCTGGTTACTCCGAATGCACAATAAAGTCATGTCTGGCTGTCAATTCAGATCACACTGCGACTGCAGCAGCAGTGACATCAGCCCCAGAGGCTCCAGTCTTAATCATGCAGAAACAAAAAGTTACACTTGGGGCTTTGCTCTCCCCACTGGACCAAATGACCCAGATGTTGGCACAGTGTCCACTCAGTTTAAAGGAAAATGTATCCACAAGAACATGAGTAATGCTTGTGATATCATTTTTATATCGTTATTATGTCTGTTGCAAACTTGCTATTATCAGCTAGGTTCTATCAAAAATCTGTTACTATTGTGTGAGACAAAACAATCCATCCTTGTTTGATTCAGGGAACAGAGGTTTTACAGAGCACAGTGCAGACAGGATGCCAGTCCATCTCTGCGCTAACACTTACACCGATTAGGTGTAATGCTCTGACCGCTGCAGGTGAACTGAATGACACTGATTATCTCTTCATCATGGTACCTGTTAGTGGGTGGACTATATCAGGGAGCAGGAGAACATTTTGTCTTCAAAGTTGATGTTGGAAGCTGGAAAAACGGTGAGTTTTGAGTTTGACAAAAGGCCAAACTGTGATGTTAGATGACTGGATCACAACCACTGCCCTGCTCCTGGTTTATAGGGATCGATCAAAAGTGGTACACGGAAGGAACAGTGGTAAATGGTAAATGGCCTGTATTTATATAGCGCTTTTACTAGTCCCTAAGGACCCCAAAGCGCTTTACATATCCAGTCATCCACCCATTCACACACACACTGGTGATGGCAGCTACATTGTAGCCACAGCCACCCTGGGGCGCACTGACAGAGGCGAGGCTGCCGGACACTGGCGCCACCGGGCCCTCTGACCACCACCAGTAGGCAACGGGTGAAGTGTCTTGCCCAAGGACACAACGACCGAGACTGTCCAAGCCGGGGCTCGAACCGGCAACCTTCCGATTACAAGGCGAACTCCCAACTCTTGAGGAAAATGTATCCACAAGAACATGAGTAATGCTTGTGATATCATTTTTATATCGTTATTATGTCTGTTGCAAACTTGCTATTATCAGCTAGGTTCTATCAAAAATCTGTTACTATTGTGTGAGACAAAACAATCCATCCTTGTTTGATTCAGGGAACAGAGGTTTTACAGAGCACAGTGCAGACAGGATGCCAGTCCATCTCTGCGCTAACACTTACACCGATTAGGTGTAATGCTCTGACCGCTGCAGGTGAACTGAATGACACTGATTATCTCTTCATCATGGTACCTGTGGACTATATCAGGGAGCAGGAGAACATTTTGTCTTCAAAGTTGATGTTGGAAGCTGGAAAAACGGTGAGTTTTGAGTTTGACAAAAGGCCAAACTGTGATGTTAGATGACTGGATCACAACCACTGCCCTGCTCCTGGTTTATAGGGATCGATCAAAAGTGGTACACGGAAGGAACAGTGGTAAATGGTAAATGGCCTGTATTTATATAGCGCTTTTACTAGTCCCTAAGGACCCCAAAGCGCTTTACATATCCAGTCATCCACCCATTCACACACACACACTGGTGATGGCAGCTACATTGTAGCCACAGCCACCCTGGGGCGCACTGACAGAGGCGAGGCTGCCGGACACTGGCGCCACCGGGCCCTCTGACCACCACCAGTAGGCAACGGGTGAAGTGTCTTGCCCAAGGACACAACGGCCGAGACTGTTGGAGCCGGGGCTCGAACCGGCAACCTTCCGATTACAAGGCGAACTCCCAACTCTTGAGCCACGATCGCCCCACTGGTAATCCAGTGACGGGTCATGGACCACCAAGGTTCATGGATGCACATGAGGATTTAAGGTCTGATCCGACAGACAAGCTTCTGTAGCTCAAAGTTTAAAAAAACAAAACAAAACGTTTGTGCTGATTCTGATGGAAAAGTGTCTGAACACACAGAAGATCAGAGTTTAGCTGCAGATCAGTCATGCTTATACCTGATGGTAAATACAGACAGCCATCAACCTTGCTGCTTTTTCATTCAGACTAATTTATGTGTGAAATGTAGAAGAATGTTATGAGCTGAAATTCCCTGCAGTAGTGATTCCTGAGCAGAGTAAGAGATGTAGCTTAGTGCTACCAGAGAACGTGTATCAGGCTCAAATTTGTCATGTCAGAAAAAGGCATACCTTTTGTGTCAAACCCATTACAAGCAATCCACCTTTACTCATGTACCATTAGATGTGGTGTTATTGTTGTAGGTGAGCTTTAGGAATATGCGACGTGACAGGGCAAAGCGCTGAAAGAAGAATTGTGTCAAAAAGTAGACCCTGATGGAAGTATTTGGTCATGCTGTCCTTGGGCATGCGGGAAGCTGATGTGTAATGTGCAGTGTTTGCAAGTACCAGAAAACACTGAGTCACGTGAGGACTGTTTGTGCTTGTGTTCATTTTACGATGTATGCTCTACAAAATTATTTGTCTGTTATTAATATCCTTGCTTTGGTTTTTAATGCATAACATTGAAGACTGCACAGATGGAAACACGTGTTTAGCAGACACATCAGACATGCTCACTGTTTGACAGAATATCTCAGTTGGTTTGAAGTTGCTCCAGCACATTCTGCAGAATTCAATGAGAGTTACTATCAGAGCCTGGCGTCTCTGACGTAAAGCACAGAGTTTTCTTCAGTCACAAATCACCGCACACGTGCGCTGACGAAACTAAAACTCTCCTTGAGCCCCTTTGCTTCTGTTTGATCATTGTATAGGGATGGAGGAGGATGCAAATGAGCTCTAGCTCATATTTGTATATTCAAATATTTGCTTATTCAAACTCTGGGCTGCCTCTTTTTTTCCTTTCCTTCAGGCTCGTCTGTGGTGGTGTTCCCTTGAGTCCTACCCATCTCATCCTCCTCTTCTTCTGCAGGTCTTTGTTTTGCTTTTTCCTACAGGTCATTGCAGATCAAGTTAGACCAGTAAGTCTTCAAAATGTTCCTTAGACAGCTGCTGATGAAGGTCTGTGAGCCTTTCTCATCCTCCAATGTTCTGCACCACAGAGCAAAACTGATTTAAGATCAGAGTTGAAGATTCTGATCTTGGTTTGTTTGTGTTCTTGACTTCCAGGTGGTCTTCAAATTATTCTCAGCTTTCACATTATTTTTAATCATTTCCCATTAAAATCAGAAACTGTTACATAGACACAGACTGTGCCCAAAGATGTGGAGTCTGCAGAGATGCATGCACAGAGTACCCCATTGTGCAAAGATGTAATTCAAAAGCAGATCAATAAAAATAAATCCCTTCAAGCTGACTTTCTGCTAAGCTTTGTCAGCAGCCTGACAGAACAGATGTGATTTCAAAGGACAGACAGCTATTGATTTCCTTCCATATCTTTAGATAATAGCAGGGTGCTTATAATGAGATCTGAATGGAGCCCATGCACTTGAAACATCAGAGAAAAAGGAGGACGCAGATGTGCCGTAGTAAATTGTTGTATTTAATACATGAAAGTAATATTATTTACAACTATTATTCTATCATAGTTTAAATCAGCTGTAGCCTTCACTACATTAATTACATTAAGCAGTAAAAAAACTGCAATAATGCTCAAAGGAAACTAAAAAGTTAAAGGTAAAAAACATCATTTAAAAATCCAGAAATTGGAAGAAGAAAATCAAAAAGCACCGGGAAGTGAGAATGTCATGTTTTTCACTATTTAACAGATTTTGTTAGATACTTCTGCCTGGTCAGAGGAGGAAGACAAGAAGATACTGTAAAAATAAAATGATATAGAGTGAAACAAAATGTAGGTAACTACATATTTTGAGGATGTCCAGTCAGGTTAAAGAGGTTAAAGGTTAAAGCAGACCAACTTCAGATTAGGCAAACATGCTTACTTGGCCCTCCTGAGTCAAACCATGATCTCAAGTCATGCCAGCAGCAACAAGTGGCACTCTAATGTTTAACACTCCTGCACTGCCAGTACTATAATGTGTTTATAATAAAGGCCCTCAGTTAGAAAGTCAGGGTTTGAGAACAAAATTGAGGCTATTTTAAGCATAACAAACATGACAAAGTTACTCTTAGCTCAGTAAAGACAAGAATACAAAAGGATTAGCCTGGAGAACAAGCCCATAAATCCACTGTGGTATGTAATGGGATGAGGGCCCTGAGAAGTTCAAAGGTTTTCTAAAGCCCTGTAGACAAGAGTGATACAAGGTCATAGAGAACTGTTAAGAAGCAATAGCAACTCCAACCCCTTGTGATAGTTAAGGAAATTCTATTTTCTCACTGAGATTCTGAGCAAACAAATTTAAGAGAAGCTGCGATGAACTTTCAAAGACTGAAGGTTGAAAATGGCCCAAGCACACCAACATTAAGATAACAGGGGCTTCATTTACATCTCCTCCTGGGCAATGAAGCCAAGCAGACACTGATAATGGTGATGATGAAGAAACCAAGGACACAGCAGTCGGGTTTTAATGGTGGTGCTTTGCCAGACTTACAAAAACCTGATCGGAATGGTCTCACATCAGTAGAACATTGATCAATGCCTCCCTCTAGTGGCAACTTATGAAACACCATGAAGGCTTCACATGTTTCTGAGAATTTACTAAAGCAATCTGATGCAAACACTGAGTATATAATTCTGTGCTTATTGGGAAAAGTGCGTATTCAGCAGATAATATCTGCACAACCTTTCTGTGCAACTTCTCTATGAAAAGGCTGGTTTTATAAAAGCTGGATTATTAAGTGTGATGATGAATATCACTCTTATGTTTGTACGGTAAATGTACACACGTGACTAATTTTAGTTAAAATACAGGAAATAAATTATGTAATTAAAGCATTATATAGCACTATTTGTTTCTGAGCTTGTCCTAAATTTTGAGTATCAAAGAGATACATTTGTGCACAGAGAAACTGAAGGGAAAACAAAAACAGGACATGTTTTCTACTGGATCCTTAATTAGGTTCATTTTTGTTGTTTAAAATAATAATAATAATAATAATGGAGGAGACAGGTGTCAGGCTTCCTGTGGTTTGCAGGCCAAAAGGTAGAAATACTTGACAGCCACCACCACCTCTGTCTCTGCAGAGGTCACCTTCATTACAGACATCAGCCTATGCAGAGAAACACAGGAAGCAGAGCGCATGATAATTCAGCTAGAGGGACTCGTTTAGACAACAACGAATGCCAGTCTTACACCTATAATTGTGGTTTTTCCACTGACATTATTATCACCCACAAAACCTGCTGACATGTTTGTCATGTTACTGTATGTAATAGATTTTAACACTGAGGAACATTAAACTGTCAAAACACATTATTGTCATTATGACACATATACACCGTGAAGGTTCACCTCTGACAGATGTCCTGGGAGAGTCTGGAGGCCTCCTGCGGGTCGTCTCTCAGCAGAGCCTGATAGCTGGAGAAAGACTCCACCAGCCCCATGTAGCTGGACAGAGGCATGGTCTTTCTGTCCCACAAACACTCCTGCCTGTAACACAAAATACACTCGCGGCATGAACGCAGTCAGTGGAGAGAGAGAGAGAGAGATAAATAAAATACCCATCAGACATGCCAAGGGGATTTTTTTTTTTTAAAAGTGGATGCTGAACATTAAAATAGCTAAAGTGATATTTTTATTTATTTATTTTTTAAATGTTACAAATTACAAAGTACACATCATCTATATGCTGGAAAGAATTAAAACGTCTGTTACATAAGTAATGGTGGTCTGCTGCCAAAATTCCATATTAAGAAACAACTAGAGTTAGGATTATTTACCATTCCTTGTGAGGGTAGGGAATAGTTTCTAAGGCCTCCCGGTACAAGTTAATAGAGCTCACTCCAAGGTGGGGGCTGCGGTACGGCTGCAACGCTACATAAAACTGGCAAATCCAACAGAAAAGGCCATGAGAAGTATTTATTATGAATTTGTTAATAATATTACAAAGAGCATCAATCAGACATAACTCGGTAATATTCAAGTTATGATAACTATGAGCTGTGTGTTACAGTCCACTCAAAGTTGGTGCACCTCACTCATCAACTCAAACAACTCCACCCCTCAGCTCAGGCTGTTTTACCAGAAACGCCCTCTAGATGGCAACGCACATCATCTTAGTTTCTTAACAACAAAGTAATCCAAACTCTGTGTCCTTATGTTTGCACTGCACCAAGTGCTGTTTCTCTGGATGATGTGGCAATGAAGCTGGTGCATAAAACTCCACCGAAAGCAGAGAGGAGATGCTTCCTTTATTGTTATTTATCATCTTTTGGCTGTTTTTTGAAAGCGCCGTTATTCACCGCTCACATTCCTATAAAATAACATCTGAGTGGCACACAAACCCTCCTTCCTTATATATTTATTAGTTAAGGTGGACTTTTTTTTACCCTCTAAAACAGACTTTAAACACAGGAACATCTAATCCTTTTTACATAAATCTTTTCTGTAAGAATTATTTAGTTTAAATGTAACTATTTTAACTGAAATCACCTTCCTGGACATGAATATGAGGCTTGAATAATGTTTAGTCTTAAAGAAAAGAGTCATTTTAGTAATCATATTGACTTTGTGGTGTATAAGTGAGCGCTCAAGAGTTTTTCCAGAAATGGTTTTGCTGCATTACTTTAAAAACCACTAGACTATAAACAGTGGTAATGAAAACACAGCAGTCTATTCTAGGTGGATATTATGTGAGCACCTCTTTGCAGACTTGGTTTAGTGAGTGCGAGCAGCAGTCGGCGTAGCTGAGCTCCATGTCAATGGTGTAGTTGAGCAAGGCTAAGCAGCCGCGGGGCTTCAGGACCCTGTGGACCTCTTCGAGAAAGCGTGGCCTGTCAAACCAGTGGAAGGCAGACATGGCCGTCACCAGGTCCACTGAGCTGTCAGCGAGTGGCAGCTCCTCGGCACCACACTGTCTGAAGATGAAAGAGGAGCAAAGGCCAAGTGAAACTTTTGACCGACTGCAGGATCATTTTTCAGAGTGTTTATGCAGGACTTCTGAAAACATGTAGCTCGCGGCAGAACAATGTAACCCCTGTCCTGTGAAGGCTGGTCATGCTGTGAGGCTTACATTAAGGAACATTCTCCTACTAGAACTGAACAAATGATGTGGCATTAACTGTGGTATTTTATTTTTTTACAGGCACGAGTTTTGATGAATTCTGACTTGTTTGGTCTTTTCTTACTTGTACGTGATGTTCGGCTCTTTAGCGTGCTGCAAAGCCACTTCCAGCTGGGCGGGACTCACGTCAGTGCCCACCACACAGGCGAAGTGTCTGGCCAGCAGCAGAGTGCCCTGTCCTGAGCCGCATCCCACGTCCACTGCCAGCTCAAAGGGCCGACCTTTCTGACAAAATATTCAACATGTCGTTAACGCGCTGTAAATGTTTGATGGCAGTTTACAGTCGAAAGGATTCTCGAAGGAGAAGCATTTGTCACTTACATGTTTTTCCAGGAAGTCGAGCACGTGTTGAAATAGATGATCTGATGGAGAGATCCTGTACCTCCAGTAGGAAGAAGCATGCTGCTTGCCTTCAAACAGGCGGTAGGCCATGGTGAGCTGAAGCCTTCTTAAACAGCTGAACCAGCATCAGTTTAAGTAACAAGTTACCTAATGTGGTGTTGTTGTTTTTTTGTCTGTGTATTTTTCTTTTTGATCAGATAAGAGAAGTGAAACTCTACACTCCACTGTGAGAATCAGCAGTAAGTCACAAACACAAAGAAAGACACACAGTGGAGTGGGAGGTCCCACTCCTGCCAAAACCTGCTTTGCTTCATTATTAGAGCCTTTTAAAGAGACAGTCTTTTTTTATACTCCTATTTTTTGCTTGTTGTTATAATAATGTTGTTGTTTTCTTCTTTCCCTACATAATACTGATTTCTAATATTCTAAATGTCAAAATTAAGCCATGATATTAACATTAAACTGAAACTTGGGTCAAGCTCAAAAGCGCTGTGTGAGAAAAGGGTTAGATTACGGGTCATGTGATGGTATGTGCTCCCGTCAGAACCAATAAAAACTCCTGTGTGTGTGTGTGTGTGTGTGTGTGTGTGTGTTACAGCTAAAGTGGAGTCTTTCAGTATTTCCTGTACCAAAAAGTTTAAATGTCACCTACAACACATTTTATTTTGCAAGGAAACATAATGGTTTCCTCTTTTCCCATGTGTTAGGTACCTTTAGAAGAATGGATTACGTTCATGAAAAAACCTCCAAGGAAGTAATTATGATGAACTTCAGCAATATCTTTTCTTGAGAGATTTACAGTTACTTAGCAAAACACATTTGGCACAGAGAGTTAAACGTGACCCCATTAGGCCACTTTAAGTTGTGAAGTTTTAAGAGTACCCGCTGGGATAGGCTCCAACCCCACCATGAGAAGTGGAAACGAGGGGATGGATGGATTTTACACTACACCTAAATAATACCTACACTAAGACATATCTATTGATTCTGACAGTTCATTATGTGAAAAATCTCTTAAATTGATTTCCGAGTGATAATGACAGCTATTCTTTCAGCTGGAACATCAGATTAACTATTGGAAATATTAAGGAAGGGGCACTGATATGGTTACAATAAGAGGACAGGCCACCCACAATACCAAGACCGTTGACAGACTCATCTAAGCACCCACCCACCTCCACCCCCTGACGTGACACAGCTGGTTAATCTTCAATTCTTTCTTTCCACTTATGTAACCTGTGACTGTGCATGTCAGACACCGGTTATTCACTTCAAAATGAAACATGTGTCCAGTTCAAGAAAATCAGTAAAACACAGAATCTGCTGATAAAAACATGGCTTATTTAGAACAACAGGTTTATGTATCTCACAGTGATATTCACTGAATGTTGAAGTGTTGATTAATGTGGTTTGCAGGCCAGGATGCAGTAATAATCCAGTTCAAGCTCCACTTCAGTGTCAGGAGACGTGACTCCCATCTCTTGAAGGAACCTTTAAGAAGATCAGTGACACCAAAAAGTGTGAGTCAGATCACAATAACAGGCACGGGCCAGTTAAATATCAGAATTTGTGTGTGCAGGTGACCTCCTCTCAGTGTTGGACAGCAGCTCTTCAGCACCTTTGGGGTCTTTCAAAGCGTAGGCTTGGAACATGGACCAGCTTTGCATGAAACCCACCAGATGCCTCACTGAGATCAAGGACTTTGCTTGAAAACAATCAATCCTGTCGGATCAGTAAAATAATACAATGAATCTGATGAAAAAGCACCAATAATGTCTCCTATAAGGCACAAGATTAGTTTTACACACAGCTGAAAAAAATCATTCCAGCCTAAGTTTGTATTGTTGGCAGTGAGTTTCCTCTGAAGTAACAAGTTAATGCTGTTTTTGTGCTTAAGCTTAAGCGGTTTTTATTTAACCATCACAGAGGTAGCATAAAGACAGGGATGTGTTTGTGTTTACCTCTCTTTTTCTGGAAAGGGGATGGCAGAGTACAGCGGGTCCAGCTTACCGTCAGCTACAGCTACTGGGTTGCTCATGTACGGCTGCAGCGCCTGCTTCACCTGGAAGTGAGTTCATAGAGGTGTGAGATGGTACTGCACCATTTGTTATGTGACTGTCTGCAAAAGCTGTCAAAGTAGTACATCTCTAAAAAGACAAACAAATGATACATTAAAGCAGTGAATGGTGGAACTGCTGCGAATAGTGACTTTACACAAATATGAGATTCTCGAAACAGTCAGTGCCCAGTATTATTCTTCAACAAGAGACATTTACCAAAGTACAAACAAATAAAAAGTTATGCATTAGCTGTAGTGGTGTTCGATTTTGTTAAGGGACAGAATTGCTAGCTCTTTCCCCAAGCCTTTAGTCTACGCTACATTAGGCAAACTATATTTAGTTGGGTGTTCCACCTTAAAAGCCAGTCCAGTGCTGGCTGCTGTGTTTGTCTTGGTGTTTATCATTTTTGTCTTTAATTTTAAATTGCTCTACACTTCACTTTTATTGTTATTATACATCTTATCTATCTGTACATCTCTATTTATAGAAATATATATGTTTGTGTTTGCCCCTGAGTGGATGCAATCATGTGGCACATGGGTCACAAATCACAACACAACTTTGCTGCTTTTATTTTTAAGCAACTACTTCTTTTTTTTTTTAAATGTATGTAGATGTGCACAAAGGAATGCACCGTCACTGTTCCTGAAAGTTTCTAGCCCCGAGAGATGTCACAGTGACAAAAGAAAGACTGATGTGGAATGTGAAGTTTTCAATAAGACAAGACTTCTAAGTATTTACTGAAGTCAGGAGTAAAGCTGTGTGGTTCGTTTGTGGAAAGCAGATTTCTGTGGTGAAAGATTACAGTTTGAATCATCACGAATGAGACTAAACACAATTAAATACAAGAACTTCATGGAAGCCGAGCAGGAACAAAGATCTGAAACTCTTCTTGGAAAGCAACAAAAGCAGCGTTTTTGCACCAGGTTTTGTCAGCGCTAAAAATTAACCACGTTGCTGATGTTGAAACTGAGATAATTAACTTCACAGACAGTTTGTTGCACTTTGATTCGCTACAGATAGATTACTTCAGGACAGTATCACTGCTCGAGTTTTATTCTTCTCTCACATAAAGACACGTGCTCAGAAGATGTTTGAATCCACCTTCACATGTGAACAAACATTGTCAGTGATGACGTTTAACAAAACTAGACACAGATCCTCAGTCACAGCACTGAATCTGACTCTAAACAGACCAGATTTCTCTCACTGAACATGAAAATATACTGAAAAACTGCAGCTGAAGTAATTAAACTTCAAGAAAATTTACAAATGACGCTTTGTATGAAGTGAAAAGAACTGGCATTTTGCAAAAAAGTGTTCTTTGTCACATTCATGAGCTGATTCTGTCTCAGCTCTTTGGCAAAGTCAATGTTTGATTGCCAAGGTGATAACGCTCATGCACACATGGATGTTTGAGTAGAACAGGACACTTTCAGGGAGAGATCCAGGAGCACTGAAAGGAATCCAACGGTGCACATGGGAATGGACTAACACTACTCTGATTATCAGTCTGCACCTACCTCTTCATAGATGTTTTTGAGCCTGTCTCCACAGTTCTGGTAGGTGGGTTTGGTGTTATAATCGCTGAAGCCCAGCAGAGCCATGCAGCCTCTGGGTTTCAAGACCCGAGCTGCCTCTGCCAGAAACCTCGACTGATCAAACCAGTGCGCTGCTGAAGCTGCCGTCAGCAGATCTACAGATCCATCTGAAAATGGAAGCTCCTCTGCTGTCCCCTTTCTGCAAATGCAACAGACACAATACACAACCTGCCCATGTAAAGGGATCCTTCTACCTAGTCAGCTAAAAGCTGATCAGCTTGATAATACTCAGGAAAATATATTGCAGTGAAACATGAAGGAAGTACTCAACAAGTGATTTACAATAGAAATGTTCCTCAAGCTGTGGACTTGGCAGTTATAAGAGAAATGTGGACATGGTCTTGAAAGAACAGTTTGGCATTAAGAAAACTTTTATTTACTTTCTTGCTGTGAGCCAGATAAGAAGGCAGATACCGCCCATGGCATGATATTGCAAATCACTTGCTCGAAGTACTTTACTGTACACACTCCTACAGGCTGCAGCCCGGAAGCTCTCCTACCTGTACGTGATGTTGGGGTGCCCTGGCACAGCTCTAGCCTCCTCCACTTGACACTCACTGATGTCAAGACCCACTACTTCCTTGAAGTGCGGTGCCAGCAGACGTGAATTCTGTCCCGTTCCACATCCCAGATCCACCGCCAGCTCATGTGGCTGTCCCTTCTGGAGTTGCAGAAAGGAGTTTGCTACTTGTTAATGTCTTTCCTCAGGAAAGGCCTTCATATGTGAAGATAATTTGCACATTATATTTTAAGCATACCTTTTTATCTAAGTACTGAATAATAATATCCTTGAGCCCTGCTGGAGGTGTAAAGCGATACTTTTGGTAGATGGAAGCATGATCCTTCCCTTCAAAGAGCCGGTATGCCATGGAGTTGCCTTTTCACTCTTCTCTTTACAACTGCGGCCTTTTAATCTGGGCTGTAAAGCAGCCTTCTTTGTGGAGCAAAGTTCGCCCGTATTGCCCTTCAGCCTCCTGTTTGACTTTAATTGCTTTTCTGTTAATAAAGCTTCTGCATGTCTTCTCTTGTCTTCTTGCTACAGTCTCTGTTAGAGCTGCTTTCTGTCCGGACACACACTGGACTCCTGTTTTTTCCTGCACTGGCGTTTTTCCACATTAATCAAAGCATTAACAGGAAAAACAATCACTGAACTGAAGCTGCAGTCTCAAACATGAGAGCAGAGATACGTTTAAAACACTGAGGGAAGAAAAGCAGAAAGTAAAACCGATGAAGAAAAAATGCTTCTTACGAGTTGAAAGGTGTCTCTGAAGCCAGGAACTAAACTCAGCTGCAGATCTGCTAACAGTGCACAACAGGGGCAGGGCCTCTTACTTAACCCTTTCATGGGACAATTTCTACAGACTGTACTGTCTCATACTGGAACATTAACAAAATAGAAAAGTGGAGAACACACTACAGTTTTAGTCACTGTATTGCATGAGTTCAAGTGAGAACGCAAAACATACTTATGATTTTTATTATTATTTTTCCTGTCACCCATTTTACTGTACGATGGCACTTAATACCCCAAATTCCTTACAGTATGTCTTCAAGATATACAGTTAAAAAAAAGGTTTATCTTAGCAAAGGACACCTGGCTATGATTATATTATAGCCGACTGCTGTGATAAAATGCTTTGTCATAACCTCGACCAAGCAGGTTATGTTTTTGAGTGTCTGTGTCATACAGGATAGTTTTGAATGAAACTTTGTAGGAGTGTAAAGTTATGTTAACAATCCAGTAATAATTCATCAGTGTGTTCAAGCTCCAGTTAATGATTTATTGGTTAAAAATTGCCAAAAGGCCTCGTAAAAATATCATGTCACATTTGACCTCTGACCTCTGCTTTAAGGTCAATAGATTCATCTGATGGTCAAAGTGAGAAAAATGCATTATAAAAGGTATTTAAGACCATGTTTCTTACTGTCATTATTTGCATTAACAACATATTGATATGTAGGGAGTGATATATGAGGATTCTAAATATCACTTTGGACCTCTGACCTCTTCTTCAAGATCACATAAGGTCAAACTTTCAGAAAATGTCTTTTGCTTTGCTTAAAATTCTACTAACTTTGTTTGTGCTAGCAACATTTAGCACTTTAGAATCTTATTTGGGAATTTTGTTTCTACCCCAAAATGTGCTATATCTTCATAGAAAGTATTGCACAGTACAGTAAGATATTATACAAGTTATTCATATTCAGTTATTTAAAAATTAATACCCATTACCAACGCCTACATAATGTTCATATAGTCAAAGTAAACATCTGTCATGCTTCCTTTATCTGACATTTACTACACTACAAACAAAACAAAACAAAATGAACATATAGAGTATTAGTAGTAGTAACACTGTTCCCTTAAAGGTAAATACTGCTATGGGCCCTTTTATGCATATACAGCGTAGCATAAACGTATGGAATAAATTTTATGACTGCTGTCATCATAGAGTCTCACAAACATGTTCATTAGGTCAGTCAGCTGGTTTCACTCTATGTTTGTCATAGTTTGCGATCTTCTCTT